GTGGACGTATCTTTTTCTCTTCTCTCTTTTCTCTTTCCTTCATTTTTAGCATGAACTGAAGGGGGGTTAAATCACTACCTTTTCCTCATGGAACTGAAAACATTTATTCCGGTGTTTCCATAATAATACATCAATAACAAAATACTGTGTTTCTGAACCCGTGCAAGAAAAATGATCTAAAAAAAAAATGCATATGAGGGTTAGAGGTGGGGGTAAAAGCTGTCTTTCATCTCATTACCGTGTGGTTAGAGGACTTGTTCATGATACGATGCAAATTTTCCTCTGTTTAAAGGGATGCATATGAGGGTTAGAGGTGGGGGTAAAAGCTGTCTTTCATCTCATTACCGTGTGGTTAGAGGACTTGTTCATGATACGATGCAAATTTTCCTCTGTTTAAAGGGAATTTTATTGCCTTTATACGAAGGAGACTTTATATGCACATAAAATAAGAAGACGTATTACGAGAAGATTTCTTGTTAGAGACTGTTCTTGGGTTAGACGCTTTCGCGTCTTTCTTACTCACTCTGTTCTGCTCTGTATAATTAAGCATTTATTACATTATGAACTGGATTGTACATGTCTCAGTTGTGTTTCCTAATACAAATCTGAGGATCAGTTTTGTTCTGTTCAGTAACTGCACAAGTATTTTATATAAAATGGAACTCTTCCAGCGGGAGGGGTGAGGTATTTACTGTACTCTGAAAATCCTTTGTGACTTTGTTAGGCAACTTCCCCAGGAATCTGACAGACCTACGTTCAAATTTATTCTCCTTGATTCAGGGCAGGTATTTGGTTCAAAATCAGTGGCCTGATCACAAGACCGTGGGCTGTTCTGGCATAAATCTGAGTTACAGTGGGATTCTTAAATATTCTTAAAAACCCATTGTGTAATAGAGAATGGTCCCTTCTTTTGAGATATTTCTGTATATCTAAAAATTATTTTGTGTTTTTCTGAATAGCTCTGAGGTGATAAAATTATTTCATGAAAACTTACTGTTCATGAAATCTTTTCTATGTGTTTGTATGGCAGTAGAATCTATGGACAAGGCGGTGGCTGCATAGGTAGAAGGGAATGACAGTATGAAGCAGAAGTTTGTGTTGGGGTGTGTGGGCTGTACGTGACTAATAAATGTGTGGAGCAAAAGAGCTGTATATGGAAAAATGTCTTTGTGCATGGAAGGAGACTGAATGTGTGTGTGTGTGAACACTTCTGCGTAGAATAAGTGCAATATTTCTGTTAGGATCCAGTGCGGGATAACTGGACAACATCTGCCACGCGATTTGTTAAAGCTGTTTAATAATCTGCATAGTAACTAATGCTGTGTGTATTCATAATGCTTTGTAGACCAGAATGATTTATCCATTCTGTATCATATCAGACAAAGTAACTGATGTAACATTAAGAAAATCTAAAACTTGGGCAACTTGAAGTCCGGAGAGTTTTAACTCGCTTGTGTTGTAAATTGTCGGTATGTTTGATAGACAGTTTGCCTTGGTAATGTGTGCTACATAGTGGTTTTTGAGAAAAAAAGGGGAAAAGCCCTATGCTTCACTTATAAATGTTGTGATTCTTCCACATTATAGTAATCACGAGAGAACTGTACTGTTAATGTTGGGTTTAACATCCCCTGATACCAGCTAAGCACTCAGACTGCTTAGTGGATTTGGATAATTTACTGCCTTGTTAATAAAGTCGTTGGAGAACTTAAATGCAGTACATGCCAGCCTTGATAAAGATTGATGTTTACAGTCTGTTTGGCACATCGCTAAATTTCTAAATTGCTGATAAATTATGTCTCTTTTTTTTCTCCCTTTCTAAGATACTACACGTATCTTCAGCAAGCTCAAGCTTTTTACACGTTTCCGTTCCATCAAATGATGACTGCAGCGCCTAACATGGAAATCATGACTGAGCAGCCGACTCTAGAGGGCGTTCCAGAGCCAAACATTGCTCAGGAGCCTCCAAAAGGTAGTTTGACTGGGCTGTGCTAAGGGAGCTAAGACATTAGTAACCGTCGGGGGGGGGGGGGGGGGGGGGGGCCTATTGGATTTCTTGATGCTCTTTGAGGAAGTATTGATTCATTGTATTCTTTAAGTAATGTTTGTTACCAGACAATTAAAAAGATAAGAAGTAAACCCAGGTGATAGTATTCACATTGTTCAGTCTCAAAAAATTATCTCGTTGCAGGAAGAGCAGATTTTTGTTTCAGTAGCTAAACGTATCATTTTTAGCTGATTTTTCGTGGGTTTTAATATTATGTTAGAGACATTATCTTTTCTCAGTCTGAGTTAAAAATATTTTTTAACTTCTGCCAGAGAAGTACAGTATAGTACTGTTTATTTGAAATATTTTTGTTTAAATGGTGTTTTAGTGTGTTGTAGTAATCACAAGTAGTTAATTGCTTATATACACTAAGGATTGATTGTTTTTAATGAGGTTTGTTTAAACAAATACAGGACACTTTCCAGCATTGTTTGTATGTGACACAAGTCTTGTACTTTATGCACTTGTACATTGCCTTTCTTTTCCCCCACTAGGATTTTGTACACTTAGGCTTTACACTAACCATGCCAAGAAAAGATCCCTTGTTCTGTTAGTCTTACGCTTGCTCTTTACCACATAAAAAAGGCAGTGATCTCTACCATGCTTAAGTTCTGATTCTACAGCAAATATTCACACACCAAGTTTCATCTTGCTTTTAATATATAGGTATAGGTCAGCGCTCTCCGTACCAAGGTAATCTATCAGCCAGTTCATGCAATGACATTGCTTGTTTAAGTGCATCCTTTTATAAGCGTCAATTTTTCTTTTTTAGTTGTAATGCTTGGCCAGATGAAATCATAGGAAGAAAACCTCCAGTTTAAAACAGTTGCAACTGCTCTATTTATTCACTGTATTCTTCACTACAGTTAGGACGCATCTTAAGTGCTATATAGTTAGGCTTCTTTTGCGGCTTTATTATTGGATAACATGATGTCACCATAAGCATGCTGTTTGACTGCACTTTCAAGTATTTTTAGACAACCGTAATCTTCTGTTACGAAGCTGTTCCCTAGTATTTTTGCGAGAATTGGAAGTTGAGTAAGGCCTTGAAAGACAGGGCTTGAAGATTTACCAAACGTGTGTGAAATTTACAGGAGCATATGTGAAAGGCAAAGATTTGGAGTCCAGCTACCTGCTGTGATGAAAAAAGTAAAATTTTTAGGATTAGCGCCTGAAAGGCTGCCCTGGCATTGTTCGTCTTTCATGACAGTGGCTGGTTGGTAGGTACCTGATGAGCATGAGAGTTAGGAGAACGTTATCCTGCTTCATCTGAAATACTCTGACTGCTCTGAGTTGGATGTATCTGTGGCATTTTGCCGTCACGTGAATGAAATACATCCAACTCAGAGCAGTCAGAGTATCTGTGGCATTTTGCCGTCACGTGAAAAACCCCCTAGTTCTTCAAGGGGTAGGAAAGAAAAAGCTGCTTCTGTGCCTCACCAAGTCTGTGCCTTTCTAGTCTTTTCTTCATTGTAGCTACACTATAGCTTGAGTACTGTTACTTACAGCTTTCCTAAGCAGTTGCTCCAATGACGCGGTGGGAATTTCACACGACTTCTGTCCTTCTTGTAAGAAAGCTGAGTGCAAACAAAAACAGCCCCAAAAAAGTTTGCAGACTTAGGGCAGTGCCCTGGTATCCACCGTATTTCTTTCTTATCTGAGGGAGAGTTTCGTCTAGAAATTTTGCAAATAAGATGAAGTCTCAATTTTAAAGCAATAGATTACCTTGGCTCTTTGCTGATTGCTGCTAAATATGTTTGCATACTTTTGAAGTTGTGTTCTGCAACTTGACATTATCAATGAACAAGGATAGAGAGCAATCTCTGGGTGGTCATGTCATGACCAGTACCTGTGCTGATTGAATCTCTAAGCTTTAGGGGCCAGAAGATGAGGAAGCTTCAAATCACTGAGTGAACAGTGATTACTTTATGTTTGCATTTTGTAAATAAAAATTAATGTTGAGTGAACAGTGATTACTTTGTTTGCATTTTGTAAATAAAAATTAATGTTTGGTGTCACTCCTTCAAATTGAGATCCTGAAGCTCTCATACGTCACCTTGCTATATGATGCACTGGACAGTATCTGTTCTGTAGACAATAAATTGTAAATAGCTTATGCAGCGTTCAGCCTATGTGTTTGTGTTCCTGACAAGCTTATACCTTACACTGTAGGTAATCCTTGAGACCTGTTGCTCTTGACATGCTGTTCAGTTTCTTCAATGCGTTATGTAATCTGTAACAAGCAACTTTCATATTTAGAAGCTGAAGTGTGAACAGTAGGCTAGAGCTTACTATTGCATCCCTTGGAACCTAAGCTTTGATGTTCTGGCATATTCTCCAAAAGAGATGAAACTGTTTCCAAAGGATTGTTGCACACAGCATGTAAACAACATAACCTAGTCACGAGGTTATTCTTGGTTTGTATCCTAAGTCAGCGTAGCTGCCTGTGAGTAGTGTGTGTGTCTGTGGTACAGAGACACCCAAGCTAGCTCTGTGTTGAGCCTGCAAAACGGAGATTCACCTGGTAATTGTTTAATGAATTTTGAAGGTAAATTTATCTGTCTGCTTTCTTTTTGTGTCCATACATTTAGCTCAGTCTTTTTGAATATCCACACTGCAATACTAGAAACGTACAAAAAGGATATTTGCTGTGTGTTTCAGAAGTTAAAAAAGGAGGAAGGAAAAGAAAAGCCAAAGCAACTGAGCCAAAGCAACCCAAAAAGCCTGCTGCTAAAAAAGAAAAATCAGCCAAGTCAAAAGGCAAACAAGAAAAGATCACAGATACTTTTAAAGTCAAAAGAAAAGTGGACCGTTTTAATGGTGTATCTGAAGCTGAACTTCTGACCAAGACTTTACCTGATATTTTGACCTTTGATCTGGACATTGTAATAGTAAGTAACTCACAGTTACAAGATTAGGTAGAAAAGTGAATAGTCTGTACTCGCTGGTTATGATTTTCATTCCTTCTGCTTACTTATCTATATTGCTTATATGGCAAGATCTTGCAAGATAAAGTATATAAACTGTTTCCTGTGTGTAGAGCTGCTTTGCATTTTCTGTTAAAAATCATAGTAATGTAGTTGTAACTTCCGAGAAGTCCAAGGCTTACATATAATACATAGTTATGAGAGACCGTTACTTGACACTTCATTTACTGAAGTGCTGCACCAGTGGCTGTAAAACACACTGTGAGCTGCTCTTCCGGCATTGCACATCTA